GAAGCTTGCCCTTTTAAACAAAACGGGGGGGGTTCTTCCCCCGTGGCGGGGGGGGGGTTTTTTGCCCCCCCCCCACCTTTTTTTTTTGGCCCCCCTTTTGGGTTCCCCCCAAAAAAAAAAGGGGGGTAAAAAAAAAAAGTTACCCGGTTTCCGGATTCCACAAAGGAAATGGGCTTTTTTTAAAAGGTGGTGCCCAGGGGAGAAAACCCCACCCCGGAGGGAAAACCCGGGGAAATTTTTTTCCCGGGGGGGGGGGGGGGGGGAGAAACAGAGGTACAGACCGGCAAAGAAAACGAGTTAAAATTAGAGCCAGTGTCGGAGGTGGGTAGTGCAGCACGAGGTTGAAACAGGACAAGGAGTGGGCGCGGCTCATGGGATGCATCAGGGTACCAAGCACAGGGTTAACCAAGTGCTCCGGCTTCGGAAAGCCTTAATCACGAACGCTCACGCATGCAAAAGAAACCATTTTTTTCTCGAAAAGTTGGACAACAGCCAAATAGGCTGCTGCTGTCGCGAGCTCGTTCGTGGCCAAACACTTGACCAAACCCGAAAATATCGAACAAAAAAAACTACATGACAATTTCCCAATCTATCCGCTAAAAGTAAGGCAATACTCGTGCATGGTTGTATAAACAAGAGGAGAATTGTTGGGGGTGCACGTTGGGCCGCTCACATTGAGTGACTGCTGACACACGGCGGCAACGAAGACGTGTCGTACTGGCAGAAAGACGAGTGGCCCCTCCCGATCACGTGGTTGTGGCAGCTCTTCCACAGCTCGAACGAGCGGTTACACTGGGCAAGCCGCGTCACGTCCACCCGTCGCCCGACAAAATAAAATAAAAAAGGGGTGCAGAGTAGTATTAGTGCCGGCTTAATAGTGCCAGTCACTACTCGATATCGTGCCAGTGAACAGGGGCGGTGCACAGCAGTCAGTAACAGGGGGCTCGCTACAGTGCCACTATTGTACCGCCCGGGTTTTTGACGGTAAAATCGCGTGACACGGATGGAACTATCACGGTGTTGCAAGATCTGAACACAGTGTCCGGTATAGAAGTGGTGGACATTGTTGGTACATAACGGCGCCACTAGCCCCCCCCCCCGAACCGCCTCAGCAAGATGCAGCGCACCCTCCATGCGACTCGCCGAATAATGCCTCACGGTGCTTCGCGCTTGGTGATGTGAGAGCCTGGTCCGGTGACAATTCGGCGTGCTCCGTCCAGGCTTTTGTAGGGATGCGATGTCAATGGTCTCAACAACTACGGCATGAGCCCCCTACCCCCAATGTTGAAAGAAGGAATAGGGTTCCAGGACTACCTACATGGAAGGACCAATGGATGCAGGGACAAAGCTTAAGGTCAAATTCAGGACCGGGGACATGGGCCTTCGAGAACGTCGACGAAGACAATAAGACGGTACACGACGAAGACGACAGGTTCAAATGTGATTGCGGCTTCGAATGCGAAGACCGTGTTCATGTAGTCACGGCATGTCCGTGGTACAAAGAGGAGAGGGAAGTGTACATGACTGAGCTGGGAAAAATAGAAGGGAGGTACAGGGAGATGTTTGAGGCATGGAATAGAGAGGAGAGGACGGTAGCTGTACTGGGGAGTAGGAAGTGGTTTGAAAAGGCGGGAAGGGATATCGTTAGGATAGACAAACTAGGGAAGACATTTTTGAGCCACCTTTGGCAAAGTAGGAAGGAACGATTGGCCATCGGTGATCGGTCCTGTGGGAACAATGCTCCGTCCTCTCGAGGACGCGTGGTCAATGGTCTAACCGCTAAGGCATGCAAAACATAAGAGTACGCCCCCCCCATCATTCCCTACCGACGTGCCCCCCTACAGGACCCACCCACCTTGGGACAAGTGTACCTCAGGTTCAGCGTGTGCTGATGGTCCAACGTGAACGACCCGTTCGCCTCCCCCCTCGTCGCCGCTCGTGGGGGCTCCGCAGAGGGGACGAGCCCCCCCCGCCGCTTGTCGTCGAAACCGTCACCGCCGGGCGGTGTCGCCGCTCCCCAGACCGCGGCGTACGGGGAAGGCGGCGACCGGGGGGCTAATGCTGTGGGGTTGATTCGTTTGGACCCCGTGAACCACCCGTCGTACTCCATCGCATTCCTGTGTCACCCCGGCGTACGATTAGTGATGCGTCGGAACATGGTCGATATAACAAACGAGGAAAGCCAAAAGAACTTCGGGATTGTTGGAACCGCCTTCCCGAGAATATTAAGATTACGCGGAAATAGAACAGGGAGGGGGTACGCAGACCGTATTCCCTATCCCTAACCCTAACCCAACTTCCTCGATTTTATGCTTTATCCGACCTAACGACTTGATCGAAAAACCTTCGAAGTCTACTGGATTGGTTGTTGGCCCTTTCGTGAACGTGCTTTGACGTTACGGCGACAGGGTGCAATTTTTTCCCCTCCGATTCATCTACGCACGGCCCTTGTTTTTTGTTGCCGCCCGACAGACCGGTGGGAGAAGAGAGTAGAGCGGTCCCCGCTGCTACAGGCGGGAGGCGAGAGCCTAAAATAATCAAGCCAAAGCTCAGGAACATCCAGCCGAAGAAGTAGCTTCAGCTCATCAACAAAAGTAAACTGTTTCGCGATTCACCAAGCGCTCGCACTTGACAAACATATCACAAGTACTCTTGCACAACCCTGGGCTTTGTTTATTGCAACCGTGGGCTATCTGACCACAGCATACATAGGTTTTAGCATGGGTCCGGGTCAGTTCAAGCTCTAAGGCTTCGACAAGCCTCGAACCCGCATCTCCTTAGCTGTCATGGTCTTGCGTGCGGATTCTTGCCGCCGTACTACGGTACAGCAGTACAGTAGAGGTCCCGCAATAATGCCGAAAATGCCCTGGACAATGCCGGTGAAATCGTTTGGCACAGATGGAACATTAACATTTCAACTTGTTTCACACTCTGAATAATGCCGGCTACCCGCTATATTGCTGGTTCAAGGGGCTGGCACCCATACCGTATACCGTACCGGCATTATTCCGGCACCACTACTGGACTGTTGTGACTTACCTCTGGGTGGCGTGCAACGTGCCGTCCCCACCACTGGCACCTACCGTATACCGTACCGTAATTATACCGGGACAACTACTGGGCTGTTGTGACTTACCTCTGGGTGGCGTGCAACGTGCCGTCCCGACGGCTTCGGTAAGGGCCGACAAAGTAGGCGTGCTCCAGGGCGTCGGACGCAGAGATGCGGCTCATCGGGTCCCACCGCAGCAGACGCCACAGGAGATCCAGCCCCCACTGTATGTAGCAGAAATGAATGAGCGATGAGAAAAAAGGGATATGGGCGCACTTGCGTGTGTTGCGGTTGGAAACACCGGTAGCTGGAAGGAAAGATGGGCGGAAAGGGGTGTCGGTATGCCTTCACCCAAACACAAAAAATACATGAACCAAGAGATACTGAAAACAACCACGGCACCCCCCCCCCTCCCCCCCAGTCACCGTCCCATGAACCACAAAACGCCAATCACCTGGTCCGGAAACCCAATGTCCAGCGCATCTCGCGTGTGCACCGCACCCCCTAGGTCGGCCAGCGTACACCTCTCGTTGACTACCGCTGTGTCCCCCAGGGGTGAGCTGCTGCCTTCGCCGTCGTGGCTGCCGGGTCCGGAGTAGATGCACCTGCACAAGCACAGCGGCCATTGGTGTGTGGTTGGAGTATTATCATTTGGCTAACTTGCCGGATCTGGATTAGATACGCCTGCACAAGCACAGCGGCCATTGGTGTGTGGTTGAGGTATCACTTGGCCACCGAATCCGGAGTAGATGCGCCATTGGTGTGTGGTTGGAGTATCATCACTTGGCTAAATTGCCGGATCTGGATTAGACGCGCCTGCACAAGCACAGCAGGCATTGGTGCGTGGTTGAAGGACCACCACTACCGCTGTATACGACAACAACAGTGAGGCATGATTGTGTGCCACGTTGAAGCAGAAATCGCCTTGTTCCATCCAGGCAATACTGCTGTACTACAGTGGGAGCTTACCATCGCAATTGTTCCATTGAACAATAACAGCAGCATCCACGGTACTACTGCTGTGGTGGCTGTCGTAGCCGTTCCCACACCAACGCTTACCGCCACGGGGTCGGGGTTCTCGAGAGAAATCGAGAGGGGGCGACGGGGTTTCCTTCGCCTGTCCACCGTCAGGGATGGGGGGGGGTTCCCTCCCGTGTCCACCGTCGGGGATGGGAGGGGGGGGGGGGGGGGCTTACATGTCCCCCCTAACCGCAAGAAAAAGAGCCTTGGCCCTGACCTCGTCATCCTCGAAGGCCAGGTCTCGGTCCAGGATCGCTCGGGTGCGCTGGTCCACCGTGAACACCTTGTATCGTAAATATCGGACGGAACACGTGCCAACACGCACGGCGGTAGGAGTGCCGAGACAACGTTTGTGTCTTATGTTGTTGTTGCTGGTGTTGTTGTTGCTGTTGTTGTTGTTGCTGTGGTTGTTGTTGTTGTTGTTGTATCCACAGGAGAAACCGTTCCTAGCTCTCTCTGTTCAGTGTGCCTTCTGACACCCATGCTGATTCCAGCTGATGTGGACGCCACATGCTTCAAGTGTCTGAAAAAAGGTACCATTATTGGCGTACCTCTGGTGTGCCAAGGATGAGCTCGAGGAGGATCACCCCGATCGACCACATGTCGTACGATTCCGGCCGCTGAGCAGAGTACGCCGTCTGCGGAGGATGGACGGAAAAAACATGCAAGTGTTGTCCAAATCGCCAGGAAAGTTAACGAGAAAAATCGCGGTCAGGCATCGGGAGCGTCACTGGAAGAAGAAGCATCATCGCGGGAAGCACGACGACACACGACTCGTCACTGGTATCAGGAGCGTCACTGGAAGAAGGAGCATGGTCGTGGTAAGCACGACGATACGCAACTCCTCAACAGCATCAGAAGCGTCATCGAAAGAAAACGTTAGCGCGACGATACACGACAAAACGGCATCGCGTCAACTGCATCAGAACCATCGCCGCAAGAATAGATGCGATGAGCACATGGCAATGCACCACGATGAGAACCAAGAGAGAGCGTGCCGGACCCGCGCACACCAAGCAACTACTGTAAATGACACAAGATAACACACCCCTTGGACCGATCTTCAAATCTCAATTTCTCAACAGCAGAGAGAGTCACAGCGCCGAAAACGGTGGCGTTGAAGCTGTGTCGATCGAGACAGCTTTTTCCAAAAATGCATTGTTTTACCAGTATTTATTATGCATCCTCTTCGTCGTGGCGTAATCGAGCTTTGAAAATTGGTCCGGGGTGTGTGTTGTCTTGTGTCATGTACGGTAGTGGGGCGTAAAACGCTTGGTCGAGAGCAGAGAGGGGGGCAGGAACGATGCCTCTAGGGTTCCCGTCCGTTGGTACCTCGGGGTCAAAGAGCACCTCCGGCGGAGCGTACTGTAGCGTCTCCTCCGACTGACCGGGGCCCTCGGTCCCGTACAGCCCGGCCGGCATGGCGCCCTCGTCGACCGCGCTCGAGAAGTCCGCCACCCTCAGCAACAACCGCGTCCTCCTAGCAGACGACGACGTAGAGGAGGAGGACCGTTGTTCGTGCTCGCCACCCACGTCTGCCGACTCGAAACTACCGCCGGTCCGCCTCCTCTTCTTCTCGGGCTTGTCACTGCTGCTGCTGCTGCTGCTGCTGCTACTGCTGCTGCCGCTACCCCAGTCCCTCACAGGCGTGGTCGCGGCCGGGGACGACTGGTATCTGTCCCCCCCCGGGGACGATTCGTACCCGTCCCCTGTCGGGTCGCCGGATCCCGGCCTAGGGCCGGGGGGGGGCGCGTGACGCGTCGTTGTCGTCGTCGCCGCCGCCGCCGCCACCGGTGGAAGGGAGACAATAAGGTTGGACGGCTTGAGGTCCCTGTGAACGACGCCCGTCTCGTGGAGGAAGCGGGTGCCCTCCAAGGTCTGCCGCAGGATAGACTTCATCACCTGCGCGTATGAACATGCAAAATTATAAATATGCGTGAGAGTTGTAACGTACTATGCGCAGGATAGACTTCCATGAACCTGCGCGTATGCGTATGCAACAATTGTTACATACGCGTGAGAGCTGTGACGTATTGTGCGCAGGATGGATTTCTTTCATCACCAGAGCAAGCTGCATGAAGAACATGAAAATGCATGATGGCTGTGACGTTTTTGTGCGTGTGTCATGCGGAGGAAGACAGACCTGCGAGCGAAGCGGGCAAGGAACCTTGGTCGGCTGTTGAAAAACAACGTGGTCGGAATTGCTCAAGCAGTCAGCTAACTCGGTCGTTCCAAGGGACCGTCAACACGTATCATGCAACGAACCCAGGTTAGCGCGCCACTGATTCGTGCCATGTCGACTTGCTGTTGAGTCTCAGAACCCACCACAACGCCAGATGGTCTAGCAATAATATTTCTCCTTTCGACCGTCGCACTACCAGAAAATCCGACGCTATGCCCTGCCGTGGCTGAGCAAACCAGGCGCCACACACCGTCTTTTTTCCGGCGTCCATCGGCACGGTATACCCTCTGTTGGCCGGGTAAACCAGATTTTATCACACACCTTCTTTGGTCCGGCGCCCATCCGCACGGTAAACCTTATTTTGGCCGGCACCCAAAATCGAAACCTCTCATGAGACGAACAAACACGTACACTTCCATCGCCTCGCGACAGACAAGGCTTCTTGGGTACCTCGGGCCCCTCGGGGTCAAGCCGCATGTCCCTCCAGAAATAACTCTGCCCGTGGAGCACGAACCCCTCCGCCTCTCGCTCGGTGTAGAGGTAGTGCCGCAGGGACGTGCCTTCGTCCCGGAAGACCAGCCACATCTCCGTCTGCGGGGGGTGAAACACGGCACGCCGGGGCGGGGGCGCGGCAGCAGTCGGCAGTGGTGCGCGAAACCAAGAAACCGAGCAGCGCAAGGGGGACGTACTCTTATGCTGTGCGCCTTAGCTCCTATGTAGACCATTGACCCACGCGTCCTCGAGAGGACGGAGCATGGTCTCCAAAGGACCGATCGCCGATGGCCAATCGTTCCTTCCTACTTTGCCGAAGGCGGGCGGAAAGGGGCTTGTATCAACATGCGGATCGCAAACGAAGCGCCGCCAGTTGGTTAGAAAATCACTGTGTTCACTACCGATCGCCCCAGACCTCTCCGTCCAGATGCAAGGTTGTCGTGCACACAAAAGTTCGACACTGGCTAAGTTCTTGCGAAAAACAAAGCGCAGGAAAAACAGTAACCCAACGTTACGGTGCCGCTAAGCGAAGACTACCGTGCGTACGTATATATTGATCTCACCGGTACGGCTTCTCCCGCGTCCCATGGCCCCCCCACCCCCCACCCCGCCCCTGCCGCCTCCTCCCCGGCCCTCCCGAAGCGGCCCCGCTCGTGGTCGCCGAAGAGGTACAGGTGTTCCACGTACCTTGCTATCTGCGGTGACCCTCCCAGGCTCTGCAGGAGTTCTCCGAAGTAGATCTCCCTGCGAAAATGTTGCGTTGGCCCATGGAGCATGAGGGCGCCAGCGGTGTTAGTTTTGACAAACGTCGGGGGGCTCCGTGGTGGCGGGGTGGGGGTGGGGGGGGTGACGGTGATCATATTGATTTCACGGGATCTCGCCACTGAGAACGTATCCCCTTCGAGAAGAAGGGACAAACCGTCGTGCTCCTTCGAACAAAAAACACTTCTGGCATCCATCGAACATTCGGGACTTCTGCAAGGTGTAGGATATATCCTAGACGATTGTAAAACTACGGGCGGATAGGTTGCCGATCCTTCGACGCTCCCATTTGGCAATTTGTGGCCACATATCATTTCTTATTACTGGTGATTGCTCTTCACTGCTACCCCTCTCCCAACCCGTCTCCTCTTGCAAGATACAGACTGGGGAGGGAGCGGCATGTACTAACAATTGCAGGAAGCAGCAGGCACATCTTGTGTTCCGCTTCTTCCTGTTCAGGGTCTTGTCCAGCGTTCCTTGCGGCCACGGGGCGAGATGTTCTCAGCTCACGTGAGGTATATGTCAGCGACAGCAATATCATCGAAAACAACAGCAAAACCAGCGACAACAACAACAGCAACAGCAACAACAACAACAGCAGCAGCAGCAGCAGCAACAACACCTTTGGCTATCGACTCCATAAACGAGGAACGTAGATCGTTGTCACAGCCGCCGTCGGCACGGACCCGGCTAAAGACAATTAGCAACTGTCGCGGTTGCGCAAAGACGCCGCAAGAAAGCGCCGTGTAGACCCCGGTCTTGTAGGCGGGGAAAAACAGACACATAGTGCCACGGAAACAAAGGGCTACTATGCGTGGAAAAAAACTAAATCAGAACTCGAACCCGGCCATCGTGCGCAGACGCCGACGAGGCCGTCATCGTCTCGGCTTGAAAAAAAAAAAAAAGTGAGACGGGTGAAGCCTAATCTGGGTGTAAGCACACGTGCAAACAAACAGAGTGGCTGCTGCAAGCCAGCTATGCATTGCTTTCACCTTATGCCGGCCTGCAGCACGTGCTGCCCCTTCTCCAGGAGCATGCGCTTCAGAACGTAGCCGTCCGCCAAGGAGGGCTTGCCATCGGGGCCTAACCGCACCCCCCTCCAAACCTGCGCGAAACAAGACAACAGCAACGAAAACAACAGCAGAAGTAGTAAGCACAAGGTCGGTCCAACACGGCGTTTCCTCAGGCGGGCGAACACACACACATATTCATGACACAAAGCACCACTTCTGCCTGTAGCAAGTGTGTTCGGGCATGCTGCTGTCCCGCCTCTTCAGTGCTGACAACAGCAACTTTTCATTGGTCAGCCGGTTAGCGCGGTCGAAGCTTATTCAAACACAAACACCCACACGCACGCACGCACACACGACGAGTGGCGAAGTTGTACAAGGAAAAAACCGGTCGGAACGCGACGACAAGGGGAAGGGGATCACCGTCGGAAAGAGATGAAAATCGCGGGGAGTGGAAGTACCCGCAGACACAGGCGTAGGTCGACAAAGTTGCGGCTCGATAGGGGCTGAGGCGAGAGAGGTGGGGGGGGGACCACCATAGCCGAACAACAAAACCACGCGCGATAAGAACACATACACGGGAACACGCGTAGACCTGCCACCGTCGTCGTTGTTGTAGCAACGATCGCAACGCAACAAAGAACGATAAATGTGTGAGTGTATTTATCGATAAATGTGTGTGTATTTGTCTATTTGAATGAAGATGTATGTAGCCGAAGAGCCGACAAATGAAAGCACGTCGCCTCCACCTCCCACCCCCCCACCCCCCCCTACGATGAGAAACCCGATTCTCGTGCTAGTCCACCCGCAACGCATAGCTCAGACACCTTCTGTTAACACGGAAAAAGAAGGACGAACCAATGCACGTTTCCTCAAGTTACGCTAGCCGCCAGTCTGGCCCCCGTGTGTCTAGGTTCACTCTCGTTCCTTCTCACCTCCCCGTGGCTACCACCCTCAAAACGCCTCTTGAGCCTATAGGACCCCTCAGCAGCATTATCCTCCGGCCCCCCCTTTAATACCAACGCGTCGCCCCCCTCACCCCCCCCCTCAGCCCCGTTCCGACGACTCGACGGCCGCGAAGCCGCCCCCCGGCGTGTCGGGGGGCAGACGGGGGGGCGGGGGGGAGGGGAGAGCATGCCGCGAGGTGAGAACCCCACACGCTTGGCCGCGTGGGGGTGGAAGGCCGGGTCGTATTCGTGTACCGGCCGGCTGCCCAGGTAACCAAGGTGTTCCTGTGGCAGTTGGCGTTGGCGGACGGTTCGAGGGGGCGGGGCGGAGGAGGGGAGTAGACAATGGGGAGACCTTACGACTATGGTCGAGAGAAAAAAAACACAGTTGACACAGGAAGTCACAGCAGTCCTCTGCATCCCTGCCTTAAACTCTTGACCCTAACTGCCAAAACACCACCCGGTGGACGTGAGGGTCAGTGCACCGTGGATAGGTGCCGTGGGGGGCAAGGTGGTATCGTAGTCCCGACATTGAGACCACCAATTCCCCACCCGCTAGCCGCGACCAAGGTGGCAAGCATACCGCGCGGCGAGATGCAACGCAATTATTGCCAAGGCTGGAGCGTTCAAGGACCGGCCGCACGCCCCGCGGGCACAAGAAAAATCGCGACCTGCACAGCACAACCTACAAATATCACCAACCTTTACGCCTCTCTCCCGCAGACAAAGACGAGCGGCAACTGCTGTACATACACTTTAGCGCGCTACACAAGCGCCTGGCGTCTTTTGCGGTAAATACCAGCACGCACCAGCACGCCGGTACCCCGCGCGCACCTGGAGGCGATAGGGTCCGATGTGGTCACCCGGCTTCAACGACACCAGCTGCTCCCCGTCCGGCGCTAAGCTCTCCACGGCAGCATCGGCCGCTATGTTGTCGACGGCGGCATCGGCGTTGTTGTTGTTGCTGCTGCCCTCTCGATCTCCTCCCCCACCCGCATCAGCGCCGGAGCTTGAAGGGGTGGCCAAGGCCAGCTTCTGTTGCCGCAACATTGTTGTGAGCCAGGGCGAGGGGGGTATGTTCGGTGGTGGCCGATAATCACACGCTCGTGACATCACATGGAAGGTTTGTAGTTTGGGGTGTGACAAGTCCCGGGTATCGCTGAGTGCATCAGGAGGTGGGGGGAGTCGGACTCTTTCAGCTGCTACTGTAGTACCAACTGTTAACATCATCAGAGGCAAGAGGGATGGGACACACGAACAGAAAGAAACTCCGGTATCGGACTCCTCGGTGCCACAGGACGGGGGCAACACGTACACGCTCCAGCGCTCTTGGTTCCTCCCTCTCTCATTAGGTACAACAATAGTTGGGGTGTGCGGGGCGAGCTCTATTCTTTGTCAAATCAGCGCTCACAGCATTTGCACTGCTTACTCCAACCCGTGGTCACACAGATGGGTTCCCTCTCCCCGAGGTCCCCTACCCACCCCTCTTGCGGTGCTTTGCCTTCGATTCTTAATGCAACAAGAGCTCTTGCATGTAGAGAAAGAAGCACGGATGGGGATGATGGTTGATTATGGAGCTACACTCTTGCACCCCACGGTAAGTATGTACAAGCAGGTGTACCTACAGTATGTTACACAGCAATAGGAGCAACGGTTCTTTCAAACTAACTACCGATCAACCCGCACCCGTTAGATCGATCTTCACACCTCGGCTGCTCCACAACCCTAACCCTAACCCAAGAAAGGGGTTGTAAAAGGGTTGTATAAGGGTTGTGTGCATTACTATAATAGCAATGTAAAGAAGATGCCTCGAGCGCTACCTTGCACGCATGGGTCGGTTTTTCGCACCGTCTTGCTTGGTCGTGGAAGTCGACATCGCATACTCGCACTCTTACACGCGCTGCTGTTGGTTCGCTTTCCTAGGTACGCGATACAACAACGGCTCGTCGGAGCTCAGATCCCATACTGAAGCAGTACCCCTTGATACCGTACCCCCGGTTACAAAGTTACAATAGAGCCGCATTGTATCCTCGGGCCGGAGGATCTCATTTCTGCCCTTGCCGACACAAATTCGATTTTTCATGCTGCTTTCCGATCGCGCTGTTGAAAGCAGTGGACGGAGAAAGTCAAATCAAAGAACAAATGACACGTGTGAAAGTGGTCGGTATGTCAGCAATGAGAAGCTGCAACGGCGGGATGATGCTGGCGGCGAGAGAACATAGCAGCAGCAGTCAACAGCATCAACATGCATCAATCTAGAGGTGCTGCATCGCAAACAACTGGCTCCTGCATCGATCGGAACATCACACACCTTCGGGCGGAGCTTGTTGAAGCCAGCGTCCTCGACCGTCTTACAGAAAAAACACACGGAAACGACGATGACTGCTCCCAGGGTGTTGAGCACGATGCGGCGGGGGCATGGCGACATGTATCTCCCTACCTGTCGACTGCAGCAGTTGTCACTTCGCTGATACTACACGTCGCGTCGGCGTTGGTCCTGCCGCGGGGGCTCCGTGATTCATGGGGGTACCCCAATTCGGTCCGTTTTTCTCAAGCCTGTCACATTCCTTCCTCGGATGCCACACCCCCAGTTCTCACCTCTGTGTTTTTCGCGAGTGTGAGAAAGAGACGCACCTCACAGCAAAGTACCGTTAGACGCAACGGAAAGGCGCGCAAGAACGAGAGGCATCGAGCGAACTACCCAGCCACGGCGCGCGCGGAAGTAAAATTGCCATGGTGAGTCTGTGGCTTCAAGAGCTGGCGCGCCTCACTCGCTTTTTTGCCCCCGTTCGGATGCCGGCGCCTCAACTTTTCAATTGTCGAGATAACCCGCCCGCCCTTTGTTCTCGAGGAACTCGGATTGTGTGTGTGAGAGACGTTACGACGGTATTAGCGGGGACTCCCTAGTGCCCCGACGTGCACGCGTTCCCCTGGCGTACCTCGTTCAACCCCCCTCTCGAAGCGTTCCGCCCTTTCCGGGCTCCATTCAGAGAACGAACGCCATTGAAGTGATCAAGCGCGCCAGATGGCCATTACTTATTGTGACCGCGAATTTGCATCCGCTCTCCCCTGCTCAGCGTTCTAACCTCAAGATCGTTCCTTCTCCCTCCCTCCCCCCGATTTTTGTGTGCGCCCACACACACACACGCTTTGCCCCGCCCCCCCCGCCTGCCAGCCCGCCTTCCTCACCCGCCGGGAGCGGATGTCGAGCCACACTCGGAGACCTCGCAGCGGGAACATCGACATGCAGAAGCTGAAGGCGGCGGAGGAGCAGCGGCAACAACATTCCGTGGACGATTTGTTGGAGCAAGAAGCGCAAGGACTCCCTTCTCCGGCAACCCCGACCACCCCCGTGTCCCCCCAGCGCAGCCCAGCGGCGCTCATCATCGATAGCTCGGGCGCCGGCGCCGGCAGCAGCAGCGGTAGCCGGTTGAGCATCACCCGGAGCCGCACGATCACCGAGCCTGCTGAGCAGCAGCAGCAGAACTACCATCATCGCAGGGTCGTGTCGCGCTCCCTCCCGGCGGCACAGCAGTGGCGGGACGCACAACAACAGTGGGAATGTGAAAAACAGCAACAACCAGGGCGGCACGCAGATCGTCTTTGGGACCAGCAAGATACTTCTGCCGATGTCGTCCTCAGACCCAGGGGCAGCAGCAGCAGCAGCAGCAGCGGAAGCAGCCGCGGAGGCGGCGGCGGCGGCGGCCAGGCGGAGGCCGTCAAGGAGACCGTCCCCAGCAAACGGCAGCGGCAACTCTCCTGGTCCACAAGGCGCCGCGAATCCTCTTCCTCGGGACCCATCGACATCCCTCCCAGCCCGGGCCAGCAGCAGAAACCGCGAAAACACTCAAGCTTCGGCGGCGGCCACCACGACGACGATGACGCCTCCATCTTTGAGGGCGGCGGCGGCGGCGCGCTCGCCGGAGTGGGCAAGGCGGCGACGCACGCCGGCGCCTGGTATCCTTGCTGGCCGAGCACCAAGCCTACCGACGACGACGCTTGCGGGGAGGGAGGAGTCCCGCCGCACATCCTCATCTGGGAAGAGAGCGTCCTGCGGAGGAACTCGATGCAGCACGAGGAGGAGCGGGAGCGGCGAGCCGTTAGCGCCCTAGACGGCGAGGGCGGGGGCGCGCGAGGACTGCTGGGTATCATGCGTGTCTCGGAAGGGTTGACGGATGACGGGTCTGTGGATGGCCACGTTCCTG